TTCTGCACCTCCTGCAAGCAAGGAGCAGGAGAGAGAGGAGAGCCGAGCCAACTGAGAAAGTAGATGAAAGTGTAGCGAGCCAGAGATTGTATTGACCCAGTCCCTTTTCCAATGGTTAGAAACATTCCATTTTTTCAGACACAGTTCTTTAAACCAGGACCCTGGCCAGGCCTGAAAGTTTAAAAACCCATCAATTTGGCCAATATGCAATTTTTTCCCCAATCAAGCTTTTAGCTAAAGGTGAACATAAAAACGTAAGAATGGCCATACTGGGTCAGACCAAAGGTCCATCTAGCCCAGTATCCTATCTGATGACAGTGGCCAATACCAGATGCCCAAGAGGGAGGGATCACAACAGGTAATCCCCGTGCGATCCTCCCCTGTCACCCACTTCCAGGGAAACAGAGGCTAAGGATACCATTCCTATCCATCCTGGCTAATAGCAATTGATGGACCTAATCTCCATGAATCTATCTAGCTCTTTTTTGAACCCTGTTAAAGTTCTAGCCTTCACTGCATTCTCTGGCAAGGAGTTCCACTGTGCGCTGAGTGAAGAAAAACTTCCTTTTGTTAGTTTTAAACCTGCTGCCTAGTAAGCAATAGGGTGCTTTAGAACCTAAAGGAGAAAAAATGTAATGATACTAAAAAAAATCTGAAAAGAGGGTGGGATAAATAGGAGATAACACCTCTTCTATAAGGGTGGTATAAGAAATCAAATAGAATAATATGCGTTTTACCTCCAATTTAATATGAATGTTGAAGTGGAGAGAGAGGCAATGAGAAGCAAACAGCTGTAAAAGGATATTTAAAAAAAATGCAAATTCTGCTCGCAGCCAGTCCTCTTGTTGAAAACTTTAAAAAAAAAAAGTGTTGCAAAGATGAATGTGCCACTGTGGTTTTTTTTCTACCTGCCTGAAATCAGTGCAGTTCTATTCATTCCAAAGAGCCAAACACTGCTCCTTCAACCCAAAAAATCCAATCCTACTTACAGCAAAAAAGTAATCTCTCAAGAAATGAGGGATTTCGCTTTAAATGTCAAAAACAACTGACACACACACACAAAAAAAAGGGTGTTATCTCCTCCTTGTCGCACCTTCTTTCCAGATTTTATTTTTAGTATCATTGCATTTCTTCTCCTTTAGGTTCTAAAGCACTGAATTGTCTTAAACTGGTGTAACAATCAAGGACAGAAAGTGGAAGACAGCCTAAAGGGAAGATACAAACCAGAATCCTTCCATTAGGGAATTCTGGGTGGGACAGCAGGGTTCTAACCAACTCATTTTCTCTCTCTGACTGCTGACTTCACAGTATGATAGCAGAGCATCACAGAAACCATGAGGACAATGAAGTTCCTTCCCCTCGAGAAAAGAACAAAAAACTCCTAATCCTAGCCTTATTAAGCTATTTCCTGCATTATCCTTCTTTGTTCTCTTCCTTTCTTAAATGAGATCTATTGGCCTTTTCCTGAAGGGTCAAAAAGGAGAATCATCTTCACAAAGCAGTTCATCTCCTTTTTCCCCTCCAATTCTTACATTTATATCTCCCACAATCTTATGCACCAATGTCAAATGAGCAATGGCATTGATACTGTAGTGGCAGGTACTTTGGAAATGCCTGTAATAAAAAAAATTCTTATATTGTAACTTCTGAACTAGCAATTGCTTGCAATCACACTTTTGATAATAACAGTGCTGTAAATAAAATAATTTTAAAAAGCAATTGTCATTACATCTTATGGGAGGGCTGACATCATAAACTGGACATCTGCTTAGGTTATTATATAGAACCCAGGGAAGAACTTGCAACTTTATTTACTAAGAGAATATATAATTTTATTTATGTATGCTTCTCCAATCCAAGTAACTGTTTTTATGTGAAACCATTTGAACTAGATAACTAGAGTTTGTTTGAAGAACACATTCTGATGGAGGTGCAAACTTCATAGTTTGAAGTATTTACCCTAACTAAAGTCTGAATTGATATCAGTTCTTTAGTGACTCAATTTCTTCTTAGGTCCAGCTGATGCCTTTCTATGCTAAGAAATAGGATAATGTGGTAATTCTACAGGAATTAAAATTCTCTGGTCACTGTGGCTCTGTTATTTTTGTCCATTCAGCTTTATTGGGAAGGGACTGTGGTTTGACTCCTATTTAAAAACAAATAAAACAAAACAAAAAATCTGAAACCCCACATACTTCCAAAATCTTAAGCAGATGGTGGCACAAGAAGCCATATCCCTAGGGAGGAAGTCATGTAAGTTTCTGCAGATCCAGTCACTGGTGAATTTTGTGAATTTTGCCTGCAAGCTCATTCTTGCCAGGCTTATTTTCAATAACTGCCTGGTGGCCTCCACATCATAGATGAAACACGGGATCATTTCATAAGGCTAACAGGAAAGATCTTTCAAATATGGGGTGTCTTTCTGGGACATGTTAATGGCTAAAATACAGCAGCTGCACCCTGTCAGGATTTATGTGGAAGGTACATGGAGGGCTAAAGGCTGACTGAGAATGGGATGACTTCTTATGGAATGTCATATTTTTCAAACTGTGTTCATTGTTTTCAGGGTAGGTTGGTTTTTTGGGAGGGGAAGTGAGGGGCATTTTTTTCTCTTTTCTATTTTTTTCCCCTTATTAATATGCTTCAGCCCTGGACAAGTGTCTGCATTTTTTTTTCTTATTTTCAGTTATCTTGTTCTGATTCTGAAGCTGACAGAAAAATTGTCTTATCTAAAAATTGTCTATCTTGATATTAAGCAACAGTAAGTAGCCACAGTGACTACCTCCAAAGCATTTTTTGTTGTTGTTGTGCACTTTGTATGTATTAGAGCAGCATATGGGTCATCTTAAAAGATGTATTGCCCCTGTATACCATACTGTTGTTGTTCGAAGATTGCCAGTTTAGAAGGATACAGTAGACTTCCGATAATCCGGAACCTATGGGACCGAGGTGGTGCTGGATTATCAGATATGTGGGAGTATCAGGAGGTACTATAAGCTGGTTATGTATATACCCTATACAGTATATACTGTATATAAAGTGTTCCTAACCCTTTTTATTGTACATACTGTATATAGTATACTATAATGTTTTAGGTTTTTTAACCCTTTTTTTTACCCTTTTCACTCGGTTCACCTGCTGCCACTGTTACCTTGTGACTCATTTTTTGCCGAAGCTCACTCACTAGGCTCTTGCCATTTTGATGCCGGACTATCAGGAGTGCCGGACTATTGGATGCCGGACTATTGGAGTTTTACTGTACTAGCGCTAGAGGAACTCATATTTAGGCTTCAGATAGGATGTAAATCAGGGATGGATTTAGGGTTCCCTGAAGCCAGATTTCAGTGCAAATGTGTAAGACAGCATGTGGATTAGGGCGGCTCTGTGTGCTAAGGAAACTCCAGACCTGCCAAACAAGCATGACCGGAAGGAGGGCTTTAGAAGGAGGAACAGGACAGAAGCTGTAGTCAGCAAGGAGAAAGCCCTGAGATGGTAACTGCTGGAGTGGGTCCCTGCAGGAATCCCTCTGCCAGAGACACCCCGATTCTGCAAGAAGTCCAGCAAATGTCAGGCTCAAGCCACCTATGGAGAAACTGACTCAAACTGGCCATAAGGTAGAGCTGCTACCTAGGCATTCTGGAGCCACTGATACATTTTGTTTGTGTTGCCCAGAGAATGGTCTTGTTCTCCGTTGACTTTGAACTTTGGGGTTTTCCCCACCTGCAACAAAATAAGCAGGCCTGAAAATTCTAATGGACTGGGGCTTCAACTGGGCTGACCCTACAATTGTAACTGGGCATGGCAAGGGGCTGCAATCCTGCTGTGGATTCACCCCAGAGACAATTTTACAGGGTGGCAAAGAGCTGTGATCCACAAAAGAAGTTGTCCTCTTGGTGTTGAAATAAAAAGGAGATATTGAAAATTATCACATATGCAAGTTAGAAGTTACTATGGGGAGTTTTCAGACTTTTCATTGGACAGTATTAATGCAGACCAGTTTTGGAAATATAACTGGCAAAGCTAACATGTCCTAAGACATTAATTATGCAATATTATCTGTTCTTGCTAATATTATTCATAACACTGTTTAATTGATGTATGTTTGTGGAATGGCAGAGTTTCAGATGGACAGCAGTATTTACAAAACCTCATTTGGAAACACGTGCATTTCTTAGAGAGATATTCATGTTTCTGTCATAGATGAATGGGAGAGTATGGGGCTTATCTATGGATTTTATTCTTGGATAGTGAAGTCATCTTAACAGAGAGAAATTATTTAATAATAATAGTATTATTTTGCAGGTTGGAGAGGCACATCTGTGATTTTTGTTTTAAAAAAAACATTTTTTCCTTCTGAGGCAAGCGTGACACTGAGTCAGTCTCAAATGCAGCAAGAGGCAAATAGGGGGATGATGTGAATGTTAATGAAATAACACCCCCTGGAGTTTATCAGATGCACCATCCCTAGAGGATCCTGTGTTTGCAAAAGTCATCCTTGTAGTTAGTACCCTTAGTGAAAGTTCCTGATATTCGCTCAACACCTTAGCCAGTTCATTGCACCAGGCTTAGTCTTTCAGACTTTCACTGTGGTGTTATTTTCTGGTTTTGGCCTGCTTTGTCATACTCAATGGAACAAACAGGTTATAGCGGTGATGCTTCCATAAGCAAGCCTTTGCAAGAGAATAAAAAAAGTTAGCCTCTTTGCATGGGGAGGGGGCAGAGGGAGAAGAGTAAAGCTTTGATAATGAAATGTAGAAACTGCTTCCTCCTGTTGTGAGAGAGGCAAAATGAGATATAAAGCTAATTTTTGCATAAAGAACTCCTGTGTAGCAAGAGGGCCAGTGTCCTCAATTATTTCATTTTAAGTACATATTTTATAGACGATAAACATATATAAAAATATGATGTATGTATGAACAGATGCCAAGAGGATAACAAAGGGAGAATGTTACAATGAACCAGAACTCAGGGGATTTAAAACTGTTACTGTTGTTTTTCAGCCTGCCGACCTGGGTTCTACAAGGCCTTTGCTGGTAACGTGAAATGTGCCAAATGCCCACCACACAGCTCTACCTACGAAGAGGGTTCTGTGAACTGCAGGTGTGAGAAGAATTACTTTCGATCTGAGAGAGATCCTCCATCCATGGCTTGCACAAGTGAGTAGTGTCATCTTGGCTTACGGCTGTGTTTGTCGTTTTTACTCTGCCCCACATAGGTTCTTTAGCTGTGTACAAAGCTTTATTTTCCAGATCTGTCTCAGTACCTTGTTTCTCAAATACAAAATACATTCAATTTAAAAAAAAACCCTCATCTCTCTTTGGTCCAGGCCCTGTTTTATATTTGACAGGCTATTACAGCTTATAGGCATGGATTTATATATCTCTGTTTTCAATTCCTCTCTGCTGTTATCTGTCAGATTTAATAGGGAAAAGAGTCTGGAATGTTTAAAATTAATACCAGTGTTTTCAGAATAGTGTATTACAAGGAGTTTTGTAGTAAGCAGTAAATTGTTTTCTATGTTACTGCAAAAACATCTTCCATCTTGAGTCTTGTCTGGAAGATAGTTAACCATTTTTGGGAAGGTGTGCTCCTCAGTTATGTGTGTCTATAATTCAGTAGAACATCTCAGGCAGACCATGAGATGTATAATAAAGACAATATAGTTATTTATTGTGGTCAGTTCCATATTTGTTTGTCCTGTCACCCTGGTGGAAAAGTACCAAATACAATATCCCGTTAATCTCCCTGTTGGGCTTACCTTTGTAGGACCTCCATCTGCACCACGAAACGTTATCTCGAATATCAATGAAACATCAGTTATCCTAGACTGGAGCTGGCCCCTTGATGCAGGAGGCCGGAAAGATGTCACCTTCAACATCATTTGCAAAAAATGCGGAGGGAACATCAAATTGTGTGAACCATGCAGTGCCAATGTGCGCTTCTTACCCCGTCAGATTGGACTCACCAACACCACAGTGACCGTAGTAGATCTTCTGGCACACACCAACTACACCTTTGAGATTGATGCAGTCAATGGGGTGTCTGACTTGAGTACATTCCAGAGGCAATTTGCTGCTGTCAGCATCACAACTAATCAGGCTGGTGAGTGTGATTTTATTGGTGTTCCTGTCTTGTATTTGAAATAGCAAAGACTGTATAATCCCATCACCTTTTCCTATTTCACATGTGCTATGAATCTTAACGCACTGATGTAATTGTTGACTTCAGTGAAATAGTTCCTGATTATGCCAGTGAAAATGGAAGCGAAATCAGGCCTGGTTTTGCTGTCAAAGGATCTGGCTGGATTACTGTTATAATTAACTTCCAGCCTCTAGTCGGTAGTCCCTAATGACATACTGATATGATGCCATCGCTGGAATGTGTTTTATTAGTAAAATCAGATTTTAATAAAATATTAATTTTAGTAATCTCCAACATAACTTACTGTAGTAATCTTCATAATCAATTTTGATTAAATAGAAGTGAAAAAATGCTTTGATGTTAAGCACATGAAAAGCTAAGTTTTAAATTGATAGTGATTCAAAGCACGATGAATTATATTTTTTCCTTAGCACATATCATTTTTCATCCAAGTCCAAACCATTGCCAGCATTATAGGGGTGTGGATATGAATACTTAATTAGGGTATCTAACAACTTCTAGGAAGAATGCCTGATTTTGGTGTTGAACATAGTACCATGGGAAATTACAATACTGGATCATAATGAGATCCTGTGTCTGATGGTGGCTACTTGCAGGAATTTCAGAGGTAGATGTAAGAACTTGCTATAGGTAAATATGTGGTATTCTTCCTCCCACACACACATTAGTTATCTCATCTCAAGTTTTAATGATTAGAAATTGGCTTAAGCCCTGAAATACAGGGTTTAATATCCCTTCCACAGGATGTTTATTATGACAATCCTGGATATCCTTGATATCTGTGTTGATACATCCAATTACAGTACTTGGTGGGGTTTCCCTTCCCTGTATGCAAGGAAAGTCTCTTTTATTCTGATTTTGTTTTGTTTTTGTATTGGTGATTTTGTCTTTCACCCTGTGCTCCATGACAGTAGTTAAAAATCAGCTGGAGAATGTTTTTGCTCACAGCTTCAGCAATTAACTTTCCAGGACCAATGAAATGGTGCTTCCTTAGGTGTAGACCACCAAAGTCAGGAGCCTTCCTGGAGTGATACAAGATGCGTTGGGTTGCTTTTTTCTGTTTTGTCAGATGCGATTCCCAGCAGATGGCGGCTGTAGTGGTTGTGGGTAATGCCATGTGTTGTGAAGTTTCTTAAGCAATTGGTTCATTTTTGAGAACAGCCCGGTGTTTCTCTGACTGTACCCAAGAGTCGTAAATTACTGCCATATTGATTCCACCACCTCCTGCTCATGCTGAGTGCTCAATGTCTCAGCACAAATTCTTGTATATTATGTGAGTAAAAGTTGCAGGAGCAGGCCTTAAATAGATATCTAAATCCTCCTTCTTACAAGATCTACAGTTATATGAGAGAGAGATTTCTCTAGCGGTCCCTTCCAAAGCAGTTATATGAGAGATTTCTCTAGCGGTCCCTTCCAAATAGCAGCAATGTCAGTGAGTTGCGACACATTGTGTAAATTCAGTTTCCTTGAACCATTTCTGCCCGACCCTCAGTCCAGGGCCCCCACACTCTTCCCCTCCCCATTCCATATTACTTGAGGTATGGGGCTGGGGCAGTACAGCAATTGTAGGATCTGTGGAGTCAGGAGCAGAAGCCCTGGCCATGCACCCTGCCCCTCCATGGAGCTACCTGTTCTCTCTGTACAGCAGCAGCCCTTCCAGAGTACAGGGCTCGGGAGCGGGGGGCTGGTCTGGGGGTTCCGTTCCTTTCCCCACAGGGAGGGCCAGTAGCACATGAAGAAAGGAGCAGAATGCTAGCCGCTCCTCCAGCTGCTGTGCAACTCTCAGGACCCTCCACCCCCAGCCCTGTTCTGGGAGACAGCTGTGTGTAGACACTGGGGGCGATGTGGTGTCTTTCTGATTCACTGTACCAGCTATAAATAGCTGTTGTGGCATAGAGGACTTTGCTGGGTACTTTCTGGTATGGTGTTACCTGGCTTTTACTGACTTACTTTCATTTCTAGTCTGCCTTCTGGCTTCTCTCTTGCTGCAGTGTGAAAGAACGTTGTGCCGAGTCTATGCCCCGCATAGCGTACGTATCCCCTGAGCACTAGCAGTTCTGCTAACTGGTGCCTTTGCTCTGTTCTTTCCCCACCCCTTCGTAGACACTGGGCAGAGAAAATGTAAGGACTCTTCAGAGGCTATATTTCTCCCTGTGCGGAAGTTCACAATATCAGGATACATCTAGGTTACATTCCTTTTCTCAAAAAAGGGATGTAAATTAGACACTTCAAAATTGCAAATGAAGCCAGGATTTAAATTTCCCGTGCTTCATTTGCATAATGGTGGCCACAGGGTTTTTTTTTTTTTAAGAGGCTTTTTGAAAGAAAAATGGCTGTTTAGATGGGGATCATTCAAAAATAAAACCCTTTTTCAAAAGATCCTGTACTTCTGAAAAAACGAGGAGTACAGGATCTTTTGATAGACGTTTTTCTTTTGAAAAGTCCCTTTTCATGAAAAAACCCGCAGCCGCCATTTATGCAAATGAAGCATGGGAAATTTAAATCCCGGCTTCATTTGCAATTTCGAAATGTCTAATTTACATCCCTTTTTCGAGAAAAGGATGTAGTCTAGACACAGCCTGACATTGCATCCCACTTTGTTGCAAGATGCTCTATGCTTCTTGCTGAGGTGGTTTTGAGTCAGCATAGCAGGAGAGTTACATTGGTGGAAGGAGCACTGCAGCACATACGGGAATAGGCAGCTCACTTCATCAGATGGATGAAGTAGAAGTTTCAGTATAGCAGCTTCCATACATATAAATTGATGGGAGTGTTACATTACTATGTGGAAGATCAGTGCTAATAAGGCTAATTCAATCAGGGTGGACATGGACAACTTCCAACAGTTGATAAGAAGGTGAGAGTAGGGGAAAATTACTTGCTGTAATTGCCATTCCCAGTCCCTATTCAGATCCATTTTGATGGGGTCAGGTTTGCATGTGAATTCCAGCTCAGAAGTTTTACCTCCAACTACACAACAGAAACACCAGTCCAGGAAGCTATCCCTGCAACAAACCCCATTGACAATTCTGTGCACATATTTACTCTGGTAACAACCCTATCAGCCGCACTATCAGGAGTTTGTTTGCCTGCATAGCTATTAATGTGACATATACCATCGTGTGCCACTCTGCCATTGGACAAACTGAACTCTGTCTATGCAAAAGAATAAATGAACACCAAACTCTGTGTATGCAAAAGAATAAATGAACACAAATTAGACATCAAGAAGGGTAACATTCAAAAACCAGAAGGTGAACACTTCAATCTTTCTGGACACACAGTAACAGATTTGAAAGCTGCCATACTGCAGAAGGAAAAAAAAAGTCTTTCTGGACACACAGTAACAGACTTGAAAGCTGCCATACTGCAGAAGGAAAAAAAAAAAACAGACTGCAGCATGGTCCAGGAATCTCCTAGAGTGTAGGACTCTGAAGGCAAAGAAAATAGCCTGGTTTCCCCTAGCTCTTATTCAGAGCCTCTAGTGAATACAACTGGAGAGCTGAAATATTCAGTTAGATCACAACTACCAGTTTAGAAAACAAAAGCTGAGGTGAATTGAGATGTCTACTAAAATCCACCATCTTGTCCAGACAGCTCCTATAGAATACCCACATCTGGGAAGCTCCCCAGACAATGTAGCCAATGTAGATTTCTTCACCAGTCCCTCACACAACTCCTGTAATAGAAGTATGGCTGAAGTGCTTTGTGATCTGGCTATTCTGGGCTAATTGAGTATCACTCAAAGCTAGTTTAAATCACAGCAGTCCTTGAGGCTTCACTAATTTTAAGCATAAGCCAGGCTGGCCCACAGCTATGCTGAGAATTCAGAAGTGCCTTCCTCTCTCCATGTTGGGCTTCCTGAGAGTCCTAGCTAAGAATCTGGCCCATGATTTCCAAGTTACGCAGGACCCAAACCATAAATGGCTGTGATTGGGCTACAGTGTTTTCGCTGTGGAAGCTTGTGGTAGGATTTCTGCTTGTTTTTTATAGTCAAAGATTTCAGAGAAGGGCTGAGCAAAACCATCCAGTTTTGCTTCATCAGACAGTCTCATGAGATTTTCCCCCTTATTGCTTTTTCATGTTAATTCACATGTATGGTCAGTTATGAAATTTTGCTCTTTCACAGTGATGAGCAGTTTTGGTTTTTTTGTATAGTGAAAAATAAAGAAATTTTAGCCTGGTGCAAAGTGATTACTTTACACATCTTTGTTCCAAGTGAGGATTTTCACCTACAGAAAACTGCCTTTTGTTGCTCCTAGGGGGGAAATTTATGAAGATATTGAGGCAAAACTGCCACATGTTTTATTTCCCTCACTGGTGAAAATGTGATTTTTATGGCAGTTCTGCCAGTTAGAAAATTTCAAGAGAGGCATCAGTTTACATTATAATTGCTGTATCTCTCAAGTCCAAAAGCCCCCTAGAAAGTGAGCAAATATTTCTCGCCACATTTTTCACTGTTCTTGTGGGCATCTCTGCTTATGGATCCGTCAGCAGCCTCATAGTTCAGAACAAAGGCAGTGCTGATTTTTGGTAATATGGCATCTGAGAGCTCTGCTAGACTGTTTTAAAATAAATGGAGGGCTGCTTTGGCAAATCAGTCACCTATAAGGAACAACACGTCTTTTTTTCATACACATATATATGTATAAGTAAACCACAGAGAAACATCTTACGTGCTGCTGAGAAATCAGCTGATGCCTGTGAAAGGACTACAAAGCTCTAGGTCTGAACACTCACGAAACGTACTGTTCTACCATATAAATAAAAATCACAATGAAAATTCAGAAGATCTTTTTCATTCTCAGCAGGTAGTGGAATAGTGGAATGCCTTATGGTCATACGTCATGCTGGAAACACCCAAGGCTGGATTCTGATCTCACACTGGCATAAATCTAGGAGTAACTTCAGGGAAATCAGTGGTGTGAGAACTTGCCACC